AACCTCGGGCCGAACTACCAGTGTTCAGCGACTTTACCGCTCGGCCGCTGATGGGCGAAATTACTTTGCAGCAAGTAATTATAATTGCATAATTATGAAAGTAATTGCTCTTGACAAATGCTACAAACCCATTGCCTTGAATAATTTTTATCTCAATTAAAAATTACAGTGAATCTGAAATGATTGCCACTTTGCGTAAGAAATTGTTAAATAATATGAACAAATTATTAACTGTAAACTAACTTCTGCATGTATTGCAGTTTGTAATGCAGTTAAAACAGAATATATATTATAGGGATGAATCACACGCATAAATTCATTAACATGTGTATGTTTACGATGTTTGCTATACACACACGGATTTGCATTATTCGTTTGAAGAAAAGCACTCAACGATTCCACGTCTGTGGATTTTACGCCTTCGTGGAAAACTTTAATATATATATATATAAACATATATATATATATATATATATATATATATTTTACATTACACAAAAGATAAATACCAAAACTTTATTTGGTTAGTTTATTTGATTATTGGTGTGAACTGGGTTAAATTGTATATGTTTCATCTTATGCAATGAATCCCTGGTTGGCCCTAGCTGGCAGAAAAATGATTTTACATTCAATTCGCAATCGTCCTGGCTAAGTGCTATGTATTCTAAAATTATCAGCAGTAGTATTGATTACTATCTAATTTTTATGAAATACAACGCATATTTTAAGTAAATAGTTAAAAGGCATTTTTTTGCAAGTATATACACATGCACGAACTATTTTTCACAGCTTCGAGTAAAAATAACCAAGCATAATACTTTTATGTGCCTGCAAAAAATGATTATTGCCGGTAGAAAAATTATTTCATTTTCCATCCGAGATCATCTTAATTATTTAGTGATCTCAAACTAGTAATGCTAGTATTAGGTAAATTCGAATTTATTAAAAGTATTTGCAATAAATAATTGCAACAAATAACAACTAAAAAAATCTGAAAGTTTTTAGATTTTGCATTACCCTCGAAGGGGCGTTTTTTAAACTTTTTGAGGGGTACCTTTATTTATTAAATGTAATATTATTTGCATTTAAACCAAATAAAATTCAATTCAACAGCAATATCACAAAATATTTTAAAACAGCATATTTTTAGAATTTCCGACAGTCTTGCGCTTGGAGATAAAAATGCTTTTTCCCGCACAGCGTTGCCATTGCTCACTTTGAAATCGTTGAGTTTGTTAATAAAAAAATCATTTAAGTTTTACAAAATGTGAAATAGGTAATAAAACCAATTCAAAATTCGGGCTTCTAGATGTCCATGTTCGGATGGAGGATTACGTTATTCAAAATTTGATGGCTCATTATGTTACCGTCATTTTTTCACAATGCGAGAAACATACCTAGATTCCTGCACATTCTCCTTTACTTAATTTCTTTAAAAATAATGCAGGGCAATAATATTTGGTGGTAACAATTTGTAAAGTGATTCAGCCTTTTACAGTGATTCAACACAAAATCCCGTTTCGAGATTAAGCTCTTCTAGGCTTTCGCTTCTTTTGGCTAATAAATAAAAAATATTGGCAATAAATAATTGAAGTATGTTTTGTTACAATTGACTTCTATAAGCAGAAAATACTTAAAATAAAAATAAGTAATTTTTAAACAAAAGTTCGAAGAAAAAGTTTGTGTAACTGAATGCAGTATTGCCTCTGTAAGGGATATTTCTTGATTGATGCATTCATGGAGGTCTCTGTGACAGAAACTTGTTTTTATTCATGTTACACATACGGGAACCAGGAAGATGCCCAAACATTCAAAGTTGTTCTCGGGAATTCAAATCTGAATCGAAATACCACTATTAAGCAAAAAAAAATCTTATTATTATTATCATTCTTGTTCACACCTGAGTCAAAATTAAATCGCTATTACAGTAATATTGTAAGTCGAATTATCATTGTATTAACTGCGGTTAATCCCCATTAGTTGCAGTTTTAACTACGAGTATATCTTTGCCAGTTTGTAAGTACAGTGCAATTGTCGCCTCTGTTCAACCAATAACAGATTGGTGTAAATTTCAAAGATAAATTAACGTTTATAAATTAATCTATGCTTCATTGAATGGCAACAGTATGAAAATTCCCTACTCTCGATTATGGAAGATTATTTAACATCTTATGCTTCTCAAATAAATAATAATGAGATATAGATTATAACTAATTAGAAAATTTTTATTTTTCTTTAACAAAAGTTCGAAGAAAAAGTTTGTGTAACTGAATGCAGTATTGCCTCCGTAAGGGATATTTCTTGATTGATGCATTCATGGAGGTATATGATTGATGCATTCATGTTGATTATAATTTAATGCTTGATTTGGCAAGCTTTTGCTTTTTCGAGTATTTTGATGCGTTTTAAGCATTAACACAATAAAATAATTGCAATTTGCTTTATATCCATGAAATTAAACAGTATCTGATTAAGGGTTTAGGTACAAATTGGCTCCAGTCACATATTTAGCCATATTCTTAAAAAGCTGTATATATAGTTTCTTGTTTTATAGTTCTTTCTATAGTAATGAAACTTCCCAGATCTTCAGTATTGCTAACTAATACTGACATTGGATGCTTCGAATGATTGTTGACATTTTAGGCTTCGAATGACAATCCTTCGAATGCATTGTATTCTAAAGACATTTGTTGATCAGCTAGGAAATTATTGTAATGTTTCTTCATTAATAAAGAACATCAGATCACACCCAAAGACAAGCTAATTTCTCGGAATGTTTTTGCCAAAAAAACGTAAAATGTAATTAAAAGTAACTGAATAATAAACTGTGAAGTGTCTAAAATATCAATGAAAGTTTTATTTGTTGTACTCCATGCTCTAAGATCCCAAAGATAATTTCGGCTTTTTTTTTGTTAAGCCTGCAAGCTTGAGTTCATAATTAAACATTGTTATATTCTCACTTTCAGCTATTATTTCGAAAACCATGGAAAGAAATTGTTTTTTTAAATCAGTTGAATTTACCCATTTTTGAAGCATATTTTCTTTTCATCAGTTTTTTCTCTTCCATTTTTTTTCTTTGCTTTCTTTCTTTTCTTCCATTTTTCTTTCCGAATTTTGGTATATTCTCTGGTTTTGAAAAAAAAAAAATATAAACACTGAATTTTAATGATTTTTTTAAATATTTCCATCTAATTACACTTGTTTTCATCTCTGAGAATTAGAACAACTGCAATTTACGGAAGTTAAAAGCCCTTTTTCCTGTCTCATTAAAAATATAAAAGAGGAATTAGACATAAATAATATGTAATGCATAACCTTAAATAAAAATTTAATCAAATTTAAACTTAAAAAAACGAAAATTGTACTAAACAGATTGTATCCCATTTTATGGTGCTTTCTAATGCAATTCATTTGCATAAAAACTATGTAAAAAGGGAAGAAAATTATAATTTAAATTAACGGCAAGTAGGCTGTTTTCCTGAAGAATAATTATTTACTCTTTTCAAATACGTACAATATAACTGCTAATTAAGCTTTACTTTTATTAAATAAAAAATTTTTACAAGAAAAATGTTTTCAAATAATTTCTGATTTAGATATAAAATAATAATAACAAAATTGTTAACAAATCATTTTTATGAGAACTTACCAAAGCATACTGTCATCGCATATTCTTAGATTTTAAATTTCATGATGACCGTATGTAGGTGTACCTAAAAGCTAAGAGAAAGCTGTAACTTCTAACTCCTATACATTCTTCTTTTATTCATATATAAATATATTTCTTGCACATTAATTTACTGTGAAAAACATACAATGTATACTGATAAAAACAGTTGAAAAATGTATTTTTTAAGGAGTTCGAAAAATTAGAAAAGAAAATGAAGGTAATTATAGTGATTTATTTCTACAGAAAGTAAAAGTTCTTATTAGAATTGCTATTAAACACATATATCAGCAAGAAGTTTGCTGATTTTTTTAAAATTTTGGCTACAACATGAATTTAACTTAGTAAATAAAATCTCAGAGTGTTTTCTCCGATTACTTCCTTTTAAAAGAATTTTATTAACTACTGCAGTAATTCATCAGAAGTTCTAATGAGAAATATAAGAATAATTTTGGAAATATATGTAGCACTGAAATATATATAGAAATTACTCTCATGCACTTCCTTTTATATCCAAAAAAGTGAACTTCAGATTAACCTGACCGAATTAAAGGAAGCTTGTCTAAAAAAGGTTAAATTTATTTATTGTAGTAAGATGAAGAAATTGTTCTACACCATCAGAATAAGACAAAACTTTTATGAGTAAGTCTGAAAGGTGAAGGAAATGTCTGAGATAATAGCCGTGATAGCAGATGATGCAACAGCATTTAGAAATAGTTTTTATTGACAACATCACGTAATTTTATTGTGCATAATCTGGAACATATAAATATTTTTAAATCATACATTAAAATAAATTACTAAATCGTAAAAACAAATTAAGTGTACAGCTATTAATCTTCTGTTTCCTGTATCGAAATACAAGAGTAATATAGACAAATGCATTGTTCTTCGTTTTTGAAATGTATAGTTTGAATGCTAATTAATTAACATATCCAAATGAACTTAATCTACAAATTAAAAACGCTTAAAAATACAGGTAAATTAAAAATAATTCTTTCAGTTAATTACAATGTAATTTATCCCTCTTTCAAATGTATTTTTTCTTACTGCCATCGGATATATAACTGCATGATATATCAATGATTCCCTTGTAATTCTTCTGATGTCATCAAATATATTCTGATATATTTATTTGTTTAAATGTTTAGTGTATTAACTTATGTAAAATACAATTTGTACTACAATTAGAGTAATGAAATTTTGCACTTTCTTCACTAGGTATCATATGCTGCTGTAGTTTAACTGTTGGTTTTTGATGAAATAAAATGTTTAGACGCTCTTGGGACCAATGTGAGGAAACTTTGCTTAAGAAAATCAATAATGAAAATCATTTTTCAGGAAATATGCTTTATTGAGCTTAATGGAAGGTTTCTATACAAAGAAGAGCAAACACCAACAAATTCATTTTGACTGTACAAATGCCAGTTTCGGCTGCCATTTGTGCTGCCTCAAGCATTAAGCTGTGTGGGAAGGAAAAGGTTGAACAGAGTCACATGTAAAAGACAGAAAGACAGAATAAATAAATAAGTACGTGATACACGGATGACACAGGGGGGACGTAGTTTGATCAGAGGTTGAGCATTCTCCCACCCTATGTTAGGCAGGATCGACAGCCGTCTGCTTTAATGCTCTGCTAATCCCTGAACCTTGCTTTTTGTCCTGGATCCCTGCAGTGCAGCGAGAATGTAGCACCGACTGCAAATAAATGAAACAAAATAAGAGACTGGAATGTACGAACATATACTCACAATCCCTCCTTAAAATTTAATCATTCTTTGAGGAATTCCACGCAATAACGCGGGATAGTTGGAGAAAAGACATTAAAATCAAACCAATTTCTTTGATTGTTGCATAGCAAATTTTAATTCAAGGAATTATCTCACACGATTTTGTAAATTTTAATTATATATTATAAGAACATAGATGTAAGAATAAAAGTGTCTGTTTATCTGTGCTTTACCACACATAGAGTTTTGCACTCTACGTGATACAGGCAAAATGCTTCCTGAGAAAAATAATTAAGACTAGAAAAAGGTGGAAATGAAATTGTACCTTCCCGTAATAGCAAAAGTTTTAAGAAAATGCTAAATCATATGAAATTACAAAAAATACTGCCAACTTTGACCCATTTGTGAAGAGATTTTGTAATCTAAAGTCAAGTTTTATAATCTAAAGTTTCGATCTTTTCCACTTAAAACTGAATCAAATTTAAATGAAATATATATTGCTTTACCTAGATCTAAGGTACTTTAAAAATATAAATTTTGCTTCCAGATGGATACGAGACGAAATGTATTAAGAGTCTGTATTCTTAAAGATTTATAGTATCTATTAATTCTTCATGTTTAAAGTATCATTAAAGGATACGAAGAAAAGCTTTAAAGAATCTCACGCTAATTATATTTTTTAATGATCTGTTTCGGACATGCCATTCGTATTTGCAAATCTTATAATCCAACTGATATATCGTAATAAAAAGCTGAATTCAACATTTTTTTAGAGAATTAAGAACTTTATTCCCTTTGCTTTCAACTGATAATATTCAATAACTAAAATCAAAGTTAGAAACCTAAAATCAAAATATATAGCAAAAAATAAATGTCTTACCCTTATAAAGATAAGACAGATTGAAATATTGAAAAGCATAGGATAATCTATCTTATAATAAAGGCTCCCGAAGAAACAGAACATCTCTAAGAATTCTGCTCAGCAAACAAGAAAAAATAGAACTTTAATTAAACAATATTTTTTAATAATTCAAATTTCCTTACCATTAAGATTATAATTGAAATTGCCTTATCCTAAATTCGCGATATTCTAATATTTGGGGTAACCACCGTAGTGAGGTGCGGGGGCGTATTGGGCAGGGCTGGCTTGGACGTACACATCAGCTGGGTTCTGGTTATCAGTTCCGGGCTCGTTGGTCTTCACATTTGCTCGGAAACCATGAGCATCGGCAACATAATCAACCTGTCTGTAGATACCATGAGCATCGGTATAGCCGTAAGATCCTTGGACATTGCCCTTACCATCACTAGCTTCCTTTCGATTTTGCTTGAATTCACCATAGTCGCCAGCGATATCATAACCGAATTCGTAAGGAGTGGGTACAGCCTGCAGAAGAGGAACAAAAAATGGAATATAAGTTAATAATAAAATTTCTTGTTTTAAAGAAAGTACTTAAGCTGTAAAATTTGGTAGTGTACTATTCTGCTTATATGTAAGTAAAGAAATGAAGTTTATGATAGTGAGACATTAAATTGTACTCCTTTCTTTGTTAGCACAACACGTCAGAGTGTATGTTAACAGGAAGACAAGAATTTTGCAGATATGTATAAAAATTAGGATATATATGCAATGAGTTTTAATTTACCTTAGTAACAAATATTTCAATAGTTATTTCTGCTTATATTCTTACAAATGCAAGAATATAAGCAGAAAATTATAAGTAAATTTTATTAGTAAATGAGTGTAAACTTCGCTTTCATGATCTTAACCAGAAAACTTAATTTTCCCCAATCGTAAATGGATTACATAAAAACGTGCTGCATTTCGGATTTCGGACAAATTTACTATCAGGATATATTATGATGAAACTTCTGATAATTTTAAGGAATAAACACGAAAAGCTTTGATAGGAATGTATTATGAGAATGCAGTAAAACAATTTTAACTAAAGCACTATGTTTCTAAGAGCCTTTAGTTTAAATAACACATAAACTAAGTTCTTTGACTAAGGGAAATAAGGTTTCTATTGCCAAATTTTCTTTCAAAGATAAAATTCTACTTATAAAAATTTTTCTTATTAAGTTGACTATTCATCTGTTAATTAAATCAATTCTCTGCTCACTTCCACTAACATTATGATTAGTTAACTACTAACATTATGATTAGTTAGTCCACTAACATTATGATTAGTAAGTTGAAAGTTGTTAACTTTCTTAAATTTTTCTGTTTCTAAAAGGCAGACAATCTGCTTTTGCTGAAATTTAGAAGTATTACAACGAATTTCATGCAAAATATATTTGATTAGACTGATCTGCTCATAATGGAAATTATAAAAAGAAATACGTTTCTACAAAGAATATGGCACAATAATGATCACTAAATTTTTATATTAAATTGTGACGATGGTGCAATAATTAGCGAGTGCTCCAAAGTTTTTTCTGTGTTGGTTCTTAAAGTTAACTTATTTCTAACACCAATGGTAATGGCAAATGGAAGAACTCTCTCCGAAGTAATTTTAAACGTGCTGCATTTCGTCTGAACGAAAGCAGCACGTTTAAAATTACTTCGAAACGTAATTATTTACGTTCAGATAATGCTTAAATTGTCTCATAGTAAAAATATAGCAGTTTGTTGAGAAGTATTCCGTTTGCTTCAAAAGAAGAGGATGCTTAGAAATTTAGTTTATGTCCTTTTTATTAAAATCTGCTCAGTTCCCGAAATATATGAAAAATAGACTTACATAGTCAACAGGAGCATAACCTCCATAGTGGGGTGCTGGTGCGCTGTAGGCAGGTGCTGCATAGCTTCGTGCATATACAGGGGCAGCATATGGACGTCCGTATGGTACCGCACAGACGGCGGCGAAAAGAGCAGCGGCAACTACGAGCTAAAAGAGAATGTTTTTTAGTTTGAATGTATCGAAAGTACAACTATAGTCATGGAAGTTACAGAAACAAAGTATTAAAATGAAAAAAATGTACAGCAAGAAATTGTCTGTTATTAGTATTTTGTAACCTTCACGAAAAGCTTAGTAGTTTTAAAGCTTATTTTTTTTTAAAATTTCAGATAACCGTTAACGTTTTCTCATCTACAAGTTAGTTTTTTAAATTTCAAATAATCGCTAACATTTTCTTATCTACAAGTTAGTTAACTTCTGGAAGTCAGCCTTCTGCTTTGCTTTTAAAAAATCCATATAAATCCTTAAAAATCGCTGGGAAGGTTAATTTGTTTTTCCCTGTTCGTCATGTGGTCGTATCAACGGCACGTTTTGAAATTTACCGCTTTTAATTCACCAGTGTGCGTATTAAATGCATTTCGTGCAGTTGTAAAATGTAGCTGGCAGTAAGTTCGTTATAGCATATCTTTCAAGCAGGTATTTAGCAAAATGAAAGCGGTTGAGCAGTAATACTCACAAGCACTAGCAGTTGGACCTCGGTCTAAATTCCAGCGAACGGGTTCTCTGCATGAAAGGTTTCGTGTTTTACCCTATTGATAAAGTCAATAGGAGCCAATTTTTCTTTAAAAAATCCTCCCCAAAGTGCAATAACAGTATAATCCAATGCAATTATAAAAATGAACAAAATTTAGAAAAAACTCTTTAATAAGTATTCTTTAGCAGATTTAATCAGAACAAAGGATCTTTATCAAAAATGCATTGCTTAAACATAGCTTATCAGAAACTCAATCAGAATCGATTATTTTGCTAAAGCAGTTGAATGTCACATGCACCGTATAAAATCACACCGCTGACCAGCGGCCGAGCATGATTTTCTTCCCCATTTGTAACGTGCATAAGAGCCATTTTCTCTTAGAAAGTACTCCCCGAAGGCATCCCTCTCCTTAGACAGCTAGCCTTCGAGGGCTGGGCTTTGTCGTAATCAAATAAACCATACAAAGTCTTATTTTTAAGATACCTTTGGATACACTTGATCAAGACGAAGCCAGTCAAAAAACCCTAATATGGCTCTGTCATAGCTAAAATAACTTAACTTGCATTATTAAAGCACATAAGTATTTGCCTCATATAATAATTTCCATACCTTGAGTAGAGCACTAAATTGACAGCTAAAATATTAAAACTTAAGTCGTACAATAGAAATGTTTTATAGGAGTTTAAAATATTAGTATTGAATATGCACTCTTTGATAATATAAATGAGAATGGCGTTTGCTCGTACAGTTAAAAAATTTTAACTCAAACTAAATTTATAATTTTTTTAGTAAGCATATAAGTCATTAGAATATCTTTGGACTATATAAACTTATATCGCAAGATTATTCTTTAAAATCGTTACACAGACTTCTATATGAAAAAATGACGTAGTTAAAATGGCAAAGACTTTGCATAATATAATATAGAATTGGATATCTTGAAGTAAACTGGTAGAAAGGTGAAGTTTGGAGTCTTATCAACTTGAAAGGATTAGCTTACCTTGAACATGATGGAATAGTTCTTCACTTGTTCGAAGTGTGATATCCAATGCCCGGTACGACGTCTTTATATACTAACTCGATCCCATCTGACGAAATATATCTGTGAGAAAAAAATAAAAATAAAAAATGTATACATATGAGGGAGGTTGAGGAGGAGGGGAGAAAGTTTCTATATTCTTGATTTTGGTATTTTTATTTCATTTTCACTTTCCTAGGTCGTGGCCTGATTCGAGATTCGTCTGCAATAGAAGTCGGTTCGATCTACTTGTGGATATGGGGCATAGCAAGGGAGTGGTGAAACCACTTCCTGAATTGAAGGGGTGCCACTAATTTCTCTTCTCAGTCTTTTCGCATACCACACCCATCCTTCACTTCTACAATATGATAGGCCGTGTGGCATATTGTCGCTAAAGAAAACACTTACTGTGTAGGTCCTTCAAACACTGACTACCGATCCATTCATTAGAGATGTAAAAATTTTGCGAAGACTTTGCTGGCTCGCTGCTGGAAAATATATTTAAATCATTCAATGATGCTTCAGAGAGTAAGCCCGAGATTCAAATAAAAAACCATAAAAGTTGCTGTTGCGACAAGTTGATGTTAATGCTTTTAATTGCATCTGGATGTTTAGAAATGCTTAGTTTCTAGTACTTTTTATAGGTTATGTTTAGACAAATTTGTGATCTTGAACTTCAGTACATGTGTAATGTAAAATTGCAAATTTATTTTCGAGTATTTATTCTGGATAGATCTGTTTTTACATTCTGGATAGATCTGTTTTTCCGATATCAGCTTCCTGAAATCTTTCGTCCCAAACATCAGCTTCCCCTAAATATTTTCTTTTCATCAGTTTAGTAAACCTACATTTAAACATTTAAAATGCAATCAATTTTTCTAATGGTAACAATATACATATTAGTTCCCTCAAGCTGTTTCGAGTTCGATTCCGCATCAAAACCATTTAAAATTCAGGAGGCAAAAGCTTGATCAAAGCTCATTTCCAGCTTTTTAAGAAAACCTGGGTTTACTATCAAGCTCAAGAAAAGTTAGGCGACAAAATGCAGTTTTTTTTTTTTTTTTTTTTTTTTTTTTTTTTTTGTTTCAATCACGGAGATCAAAAATGGCGTGAGATTCAATTTTTTTTTCATTTCTCAAAACATTTTACTTTAAATTGACTTTTACTTATGAACTTTTTAAGCACCTTTGAGGGAGAAACTCATGAGACTTCTTCCCGCATTGTGTTTCTAACTTTGGAGATTTAATTTGTCCCTTTTCTTATCTCACAGGTTTAATTATAAGCGTAGGAAAATGCGCTTCAGAATTTACTGATGACTATGATTCGCAGAACAATAGACCTACACACGATGCGGAACTAATTTTCTGTTAATTTTTATATGCTACATATTTGCTATGATATATGATATGATATAATTGAAATCCTGTATATTTGTCAAGTCGTAGCTAATGGCATACTATATGAATCGCTAAAATATCTTTAAAACATTTTAATCATGAAAAATATTTTTATTTCTAAAGGAAACATTTACATAACAATGTACAAATACCGTTTTAATTAAAACTTTTCATTGCGTGATTACAAATAATGATGTGCATTTTTGCAAATTTTATTTTAAATATATACAAATAAAAATGATCTGGTCTTTAAAGAATAAATATGGGATTTATTTAAACGAGAATTAAACGTTAAAAATATGTATTGAAAAATTGACCAATATAATACAGGTAAAACTTCAATAAGAATGAAAAAACATGTTTTTAAGTGTTCGAAGTGTTCACTAAAGGTTCAAAACAGAAATAAGCTACTGAAATATAAACCAATAATTTAAAAATGTTTGTTAGTCTCATCATTAGGAACATTAATGTTCAGAATGACGTTACCTTCTTAGATATAACATTTACTCACCCCAGAACCTCAAGGTCATTTTTCTTTTGCATGCTCAGAAGTACAAAAAGTCTGTTTTACATATAGTAAAAATAAGGTAAAAATTATAATTTACAGAAAGTAATGTCCATTAAGACAGGTGATAGATAAAACAGTAGATAAAAGATAAAACAATATGAACAGAATTCTAGTTATTTGGACTAAATCAGACCATAATCTAACAGGATAATTGGATTGCCTTTGCAGGCAATTAAATTATCCTGTTAGATTATGGTCTCATTCTTAACATTCAAAGTAAAGCAATTGAGGGATAATAACAGACTTGTAGAGTTTAAGAAATTTTGCATGTTACAATAAAGATTGAAGAATGGATCTCTAACCTCAAGAATGAGAAGAAAATAACGGAACACATATCAAAAATGTTTATGCTCGCCTCAACCTCACAATAAAATTTTCTTCCAGAAAGCCTAAGCGATGGTTTTAGGAATAAACAAAGAACCATAGGCTTGTATAATAATATTAAACTGCTTTTCTATTGCTGCATGTAGGCCATATGTGATATGTATTTAAAACGGTAACAGATGATATTTTTTTGAATTAAACGAAATGGACGTTCCTGAGTTACTTAATAGTAAATTACCTTTTTGTTGAAAACCATTAAACAAGGCATAAGCATTTTTATAAATTAATTTAAAGATAAAATTAATTTAACAATAATTAATAAATAATTAACAAATAATTATAATTAATAATAAATTATAATTAATAAATTAATAAACTAATTATAATTAATAAATAAATTAAAAATTTTTATAAACTAATTTAATTTTTCAAAAGTTGCACATGTACACACCCATATACACTGCTTTGCTTGGAAAGTTCGAGGAAAAGTCATTTTACGATGTCATCATTTTGACTATACTTGGATCTTCTTAAACAGAAAAAGGTCCCCATAGCCACCTTATTTGCACATTTTTCATTCTCTGACGTAGCAGTTACCCCTTATCGAGACAATTCTACCCGAGTCTATAACCAGTTAGAGCCACTAAAAATGTCATCGCGGCTTGTCCATAACACATATGGAAACATTGCGTCCGGAAATAATAGGAGTTCTGAATGTTAAAAAGTATGTGTATTTTGATAATCGTTACATCAAAGATCATGAGGTAACAGTTTTCACATTTCTAATAGAATTACTTACAAGCACTTTCAGCGAACGCTTTAAGCACAGAATCATACATGGTTGGCCATGAAGAAAGTACCTCGCTTCATCGAGAAATTTGAAAGCATTTAAAAAAAATTGTCAGCAAGTTAAATTTAAAATAGTTTCGAAAGAAATATGAGTTTCCAATGGTTGGCTTCCTATACATCTGCAGTGCGGATATTCTGCAGTCAGAAAATAATTTGATAAACATTGACTAGTCAATCTGCCATTAATTTTTCAGAGACGAGTATCTACCAATTAAAAATTATCAAATCTAAAGTCATGATGAATCTATCTACAGTTCCCCCCCAGAGAATTATTTGTACAGGTTCAAAAGCAATGATATTAAGTAAAGATTTTGCTTAAAAATATAGATGTTCAAAAATAAATGGCCTAGAAAAATCTTAGATATTTGCCATAAAAATCGTTAACTTAGTATTCGTATCAAGTCAGCTAATTATAAGATCTTTATTTCACCAATTAATCTTACAACCCTTAGTTTTAGGCAAGAATTCAGATTATTATATAAAATAACTATAGTTTAAACAACAATGTTTACTTTTTACAAATCAATTGAAAAACATTTCACTTAAAAAAAAAGCATTTTCTAGTTTGTCACCTTCAAATTAATTTAGCTTATGCTATTATCAATAGCAATATCTCTTATATTTCTTCCCTTTCATTATATTTTATAAATTAAAAAATACTTACCGTTAATTTTAATGAAACACGAGAATAATTAATTTTAATTGATGGATTGATAAATTTATCTTTAATAATTTTATCAAACTTTACTCTTGGAGCATATAGTTTTGTCACAATTAATTTAAAGATCAATATTTATCCTAAAAATTGATTTTCTGTACATCGGGCTTCACTACACTTCCGCGAATATCTAAAATAGCCATTCTCTGACAAAGTGTTTGCCTCTTTGTAATTATAAATGTCATAGATTGTATCAGTTTTACCTAGTTTTCTGATGCTTTAAAGAGACACTTATTGCTAATGGAAGCACGAAAACCCGCATGATGAAATACTTGAGCATGCGAAATATTATTGTTTTTACGTTCTTGAAAGGTATGTAACCAAGGATATTAGTATTTTTCTCAAATGAGCAAGAGGAAATTGAAAACATATTCTGGAAGGAAACTAATAATCTGTCATTAAAGAAATAAAATTACAGAACTAATATACAGATGGCAATCAAAGTATGTTAATGAGTTTCATGACTGTCTTTATTGTGGACACATATTCTTCATTCCATTAATACTTGAATAATTCATCACTGATGTTTTTACAGGTTCTTTATTGTATTAACAGTACTTTACTGCATTAATACAAATATAAATATTATTTCCATAATTTGAAATTAAAGTTTAAAATGCATACCTTTTGTACTTATATATAAAGTATAACATACTTTATATATATGTATATGAATATATATATCTGTATATATATGGATAATTTAATAGAACTTTCTGCAAACTTTTTCTTATTTTTAATTCGTTTTGCTTCATTACACATTTATATAATCAGAATTTATTTAACTAATATTTATTTTATTATAACTACTTATTTGCATTTACAAAGCTAATTTTTTATTTACACATTCTGTCATTTTAAGACAATTAAACTGTGAGGATGATGTTAATTTTTTAACAGTTAAATTTTGAGTTAAGTCCTTTCCTGTCTTCCTGAATTTCAACTTAGAACTTCCGGCCAGAACGTATTTTTAGAATAGCATTTGAAGGCAAATTGAGGAGACGTATTTAACCGTTTTAGGCTACTCTCCCCTAAGCTATTATTATGCTCAACCGTACCTTAGGCCCTTGATAGCTTCGCCATTATTCAGCTTTAAGGGGCAACTCGATTAGAATCTTGATAGCTTCGGCTATATCTTTTTAGTTAAGATTAGTTAAGTTTCAGTTCTTAGTTCCCAAAGTTCAAACCCGAGTGGCGGCTTTATTGTAAAACTCTAAGAAGGAGTTCTGTGAATTTAATTTGGAATAATAAAGTGTCTTTAACCGTTTTCAAGTT